ACCGATGCTAGGGCTCTGGCTTATATCAAGATTCAGATGAAAATCGGTGAAGTTAACGCTTATAGAGAAATCTTGGATAACCTTTCAGAGTTCCAGTAGACTAGAAGATGCTATTTTGACTTTGCCTCACCAAGGCAACTATTATATAATTCTTGGAGGCCAGTTCTTCGTAGAATAGTATTTCCCTTAGAGGGCTCTTAGTCAATTCAGATTCCATCAATGTTTTGTCGCTCCTCTTACTGATAATGCCAATCAAAGATTCACATATCCAATATTTTCATACTCTTTCAGTTTGTTAAGGTCCATGATCTTGGCTTGGAAGGTGAGAACTTCTTTCAAGAAAGATGGTCTAGTGACAAAGAGCAATCCCTTATGCTCCCCGAGCTATCTCTCATGGTGGGAGAAGGCTCGCCCATTATCTTTTACATGTGTCCCTTGTCTCTCGATGCCTGAGACTCTAGTGCCCTAACTATCGACTAAGAAAACTAGGACTGAAAATTAGAGGGAGCCAGCTTCTATGGTAGGACAAAAACAGTACTCACATAGCTTCAAGCATCGATTAATGCTCATAACGTGGAGGAAAAAGATGATGAAGGTGATATAATGAACGTGGCATGGAAGAAAACCTTAACCCTCCCGAGGACAACCAAAATTTGCAACGCTCAAAAGGTGAAGGAAGAAGATGATGAAGGTGATATAGTGAACGTGACAAGTAAGAAAACCTTAACCCTCCTGAGGACATCCAGAATTTACTAAGGAAAACTAGAAGTTGTCTTTTAGCTTTTTTTTTGAGCTTCCAAGGAAGAATTTTTTTTTCTTCAAAGCTCAATATAATAAATTCCCATCCTTAGTTGATGGATGAAAAATTATTGTGGAGACATCTTTTGATTTTTTCCACTCAAAATTTTGAGTGAAGAATAATAAAATTTTATTTTTTTTGCTTAGAGATGGTACTTCAAATTTTCCAGCATTATATATTTTATTTTATTTTTCAAAAACTTGGGCAAGAGGCATATTTTCCCTAGTCTAAATTTTCCAAAAAATTTTATATATTTTGTCCGCATTGCTCTAGAGGTTGCTTTTCCCTGCCCTAATTTTTGGGAATTTTTTATTTATTATTTATTTATTTATGCATGGGGCATGGACCCTTTGGACCATAGCCTTCTCCCCCAAGCTTTTTTTCTTCTGTTTACATGCTTATGTGGCGGTTCCGTGCAGGCCCCTCACGCCCTGATCACGGTCCCCACCTTGGTGTCACCTCATTCCCCAGCTTTCCACTTTCGTATCCTTGTTCTCCACGTGCCGCCCCCCACCCCCTGTCGTCCGATCATGGTCCCCACACACGGTCCCATCGGCTGATCACTCTCCCCAGCAGATCACGGTCCCCATCCCCCACAGTCCCGTCGGCTGATAACTCTCCTCGGCCGATCACAGTCCCCACCCCCACTCTTCTCCACGTGCCGTCCCCCACCCCCCACCCCCCAGTGGGCCGGTCCCCACCTTAGTGTCACCTCACTCCCCAACTTTCCACTTTCATATCCTTCTTCTCCACCTGCTGCCCCTATCGACTAAGAAAACTAGGACTGAAAATTTGAGGGAGCCAGCTTCTATGGAAGAGGCAGAAGTAATACTCACATAGCTTCAAGCATGGATTAATGCTCATAAGGTGGAGGAAGAAGATGATGAAGGTGATATAGTGAACGAGGCATGAAAGAAAACCTTAACCCTCCCGAGGAAAACCAGAATTTGCTAAGGAAAACTAGAATTTGTCTTTTATAGTTTTTTTTAGTTTCCAAGGAAGAATTTTTTTTCTTCGAAGCTTAATATAATAAATTCCCATACTTAGTTGATAGATGAAAAATTATTGTAGAGACATCTTTTGATTTTTTCCACTCAAAATTTTGAGTGAAGAATAAAATTTTATTTTTCCCTATTTAGAGATGGTACTTCAAATTTTCTAGCATTATGTATTTTATTTTATCTTTCAAAAACTTGGGCTAGTGGTATATTGTCCCTAGCCTAAATTTTCCAAAAATTTTATATATTTTTTCCACATGGGTCTAGAGGTTGTTTTTGCCTTGCCCTAATTTTTAGGAATTTATTATTTATTTATTTATTGGGCATGGTCCCTTTGGACCCTAGCCCTCTCCCCCAGGCCTTTTTTTTCTTCTCGTTTAGACGCGTGTATGTGTCAAATGTGGCGGTTATGTTGCACACTCCTCACGCCCTTTTAAATCGTGGTTGGCCGATCACGGTCCCCACCTTGGTGTCACCTCACTCCCCAACTTTCCACTTTCGTATATTTCTTCTCAACGTGCCGCGCCTCGCCCCAGCCTCCGGAACCGATTCCCCCGGCCCCCGGCCCCCTGCCCCCGCCTCCTCCCCCAGGCCCAGGCCCTCGCCCTCGCCCCCGGGCACCCCACCCCTCGGCCACCAACCACCCCGCCCCTCGGACCCCCGACCCCCCCATCCATAACTTTGGATATTCTTTGCACGATAATTTTCCTTTTAATTGTAAGTTATTATGAAACATGCATATTAAGCGTTTGCAAAGTTTCACTAAAAAAATTTATTTCTTTTGTCGATATCCTTATCATGAAAGTTTTTCAATCTTGGTATTCTAAATTTTCATGCTCGATCTTGGTGCACGAAACTCGTTATGATCACTGCATTGGAAATTGACCGTCTTCATGGGCTTTATTTTTATCATATCTGGCTTATTTTTCCAACCCAAGACTGCAATGTGATAATTTTTCATACTACATTGATATTATTTACAGCGTACAAACTGTTTGAACACATTTTGAATTTCTTTTCACTTGGGAAAGTAAGCTCCTGACATGTTTTGACACATGTCATCTTGAAAACCCTCAGTAACTTAGAACTACGACCTTTAAGCATGCCTTAGAGTTCACTTTTATGACAAATTTTCTTAGAATGTCAAACAATTACCCTAGAACAATTACCCTAGGACAACTCGTCTTGGGCAAACATATAAAATTACCAAATTACCCTTGATTCAGGGCTAAGATGGTTGCTTTTTTAAGATGGTCCTAGGAGTGCATTTCTCGATTTCTCCTATTTTAAGGGTACTTTTTTGTGTACATTTTTATCAGCTCTAAGACAACTAGTCTTGGGTAAATAAAATTATTGAATTTATCCTTTTATTTTGACCAAATTAGAGCCCTTCTAGAGCGGTACTGATTTCGTTTAATTCCTCTCTTGTGACCATTTTCTCTTCAAGACTACATGGTAGGAACCGCCTGCCACTTGTTCACCATCAGGAGATGGGCCGAGCTCTTGACCTCGGCTCAAATTCTTGCATTAGTTAGATAGGGTTGTGGGAGGCAATGTTATCAAATTCACTTCGCTTCGCCCGAAGATGTCGAAGCCTTCATATTTTAGGCATAAACCAAAGAGAAGCAAAGCCTAGTGCTGCCACTTCAGTCAGATTCGGGCTGCTTTAGTCAGATTCGGGTTTGCTTCGGCCATATTTCGGGTTTGTTTCGGATCAGCTTCGGCCTGTACAGAAATAGCTATATAAAAGTATTTTTTGATTTTTGATTTTTGATTTTTTTCATTATTTGTATATATTTTTTAATAAATATCTAATGTATTTATACTAAATTTAAAAAAAAATGCGAAGTCTTCCCCCGAATCAGTTGAAGCACCGAATTACTTCATTTTCTCACCAAACCAAAAAAAACTTCGAAGTGTATCTGACACCATTGGTGGGAGGTAGATAGAGTTTGGTCCTTCATCATAGACCACTCCTTACTTAGTGAGTTATGGCTACAATGGAGGTCGGAGATGAAGTCTGCTCCTTTTCCCACTAGTGATAGGAGTCATACGATCAAGGATGTGGCCAGAATCATGGGAGTAAGGGGAAATTGTGATCCTTTCTCGAGCATTTCCCCTAAGGAAGGTGTTGACCGTTGTGAGGCTATTGCAGATTTACTAGGAGGAGCACCTCCAATCCTGGGTAAGAAGAAGGGAAAGGGTTGTATCTATCTTAACTGGCTAAAAAATGTGTTTGGTGATGGGGCGGAGGTGAGAGCAAGGGCTAAGGCAAGCAACCATGAAGGTAGGTCGCAAATGATAGTGCCACCTTCTGTTGAGGATCTGGAGGACAATGATGATGACGATGATGGAGAGGAGATCGACGAGGATGGGAGAGAGGTGGATGAGAATAGACATTTGGACTCCTACACGACGAGAGCAAGAGCGAGAGCTCATAGAGGCTGAGGATGAGTTATGCAGGGAGCCGGTAGACATGGAGGTATATCATGGCGCATGTCAAATGCAGATGTCCGGGAGCTGAGATCTCTTCTGATCTTCCTGTTTTGAGACTCCCTCTTTGTGGATGGGTCGAAGGGATTGGCTCAGCATAAGGTAGTATAAACCAATAGCAATATGGGATATTTGGAGAGGGTTGCCTAGGTCATTAGTTTTAATTTTTTAAAAGGACCACCCATTGTAGTCATCTTTAAGACGTGGACATTTTATGCCTTGAGGGCACGTGTATATTTGTGCTAAACTCAATTTTCCTCATAAACTTGTCAAGCCAGTTGGATTAGAATTGGGTGCGTGTGGCAATGGACCCATACCCGACCCGTCAGGTTCAACCAATCTGATTTATCGTTTAATATCTAAAGATTACTATGAGCTCTTATTGTATACAATCTTTAATACACCCAACTGAATAGGGCTCGAAGTATTTTATCTCCAATCGTTTACGGGTACGGGTCGGCTCCAACCAAATCCAGACCCAAACCCAAACCCGAATAGTATTTATGTCCAAGTTTTGGACCCAGACCCGATCAGCTAGGTCCAAATGTCGAACCCATATCCGGACCCACATTGGGTGTACATGGTGGATCCCGGGTCGGGTCCGGGTCCATCGCCACCCCTAACCCCACTTAAGTGTCCATTGATCTTCACCGTCCAGCTGACAAATGTACGGTGCCTACCAAACTCGGTAGAAAAACATATCTGATCACTCGTGAGGCACAATGAACAAGCGTTGGTCGCATGCACCCCAGTGAAGGCGCCAAAGCAAGGGGTTTACGACGGAAGGCAGATAAATCTCCCTCTCTCTCTCTAACCCCTTGCTCTGTGTTTCCTGCTTGTTGGCTTGCTCGAGATAGAAGGAAATCCCTCTCTCTCTAGAAATCTCTTGTTTGGTTGGAGTAAAACTCAGAGAAAGAATGGAAGGTGTGTCGTACCAGAGGTTCCCAAAGGTGAAGATCAGAGAGATGAAGGACGACTACCTGAAATTCGAGCTCAGAGAGACGGACCCCAGCATGGCCAACGCCCTCCGGCGCATTATGCTTGCAGAGGTTCCCACCATAGCCATTGACCTGGTGGAGATCGAAGCCAACTCATCTGTCCTTAACGATGAGTTTCTTGCCCATCGCCTTGGGCTCATTCCCCTCACCAGTGAGAAAGCCATGTCCATGAGGTTTTCTCGAGACTGTGATGCCTGTGATGGAGATGGCCAGTAAGAAGATTATCTAAATCCCTCTCTCTCTTCCTAGAAATGATGTCATCCCCTTCTGTTCATGATTTCCCCTTTAAGTAGTTTCTTCAGCTCTCTATAAATTATGTTGTTCCTTCCACTTTATTTTCTCTCTTTCCATGAGGTTATGCCCTTCTGTTTCGGGTTTTCTTTTGTGTTCGCTTGTTTCTCTCTCTAAATTGAGGTTGCGGTGTTTGTGAAAGGTGCGAGTACTGTTCTGTGGAATTCCAATTGAGCGTGAAGTGTGATTCTGATCAAACCCTAGATGTTACCAGCGCCGACCTTGTAAGTTCTGACATCCATGTGATACCTGTTGATGTGGCTGGTCGAGGCATGGACTCCAATGGATTTGACGCTTCTGAGCAAAGGTTGGTCCTCTCTCTCTATATCTCCCTCTCTTCCCTTTACTTTTTCCAGTTAAATTTGGGCGTGTTTTTTCTTCTATATCTGCTGATCGTCTGTGCATGTTGCATCCTTACAATGTATCTTCTTTGTTTTCAGTTAATTTATGATTAAGAAAAAATGCCATCTCCATTTTTTTCTCGATTTTTACTTGCCATTTAAAGTCTATTTCCTTTCTTCTTAAAAGGGTCTATGATGTGCCATATTTTGAAACATCATTGTTTTCAGTTATGAAAATTGTTGCTTGATAAGGTTTCATGTGTAAGTAGTGAAGTCTGTCTTCTTTCTTCTTAAGATTGAGGCACCATATTTTGAAACATCATTGTGTTGAGTTAAGAATATACTTGCTTGATAAGCTTTCGTTAATGAAATACTGAAGTTTATCTCCTTTCTTCTTAACAAGACCTTTGAAATGCCATATGCTGAATCATCATTGTGCTCATTCAAATCTTGCTTGATTAGCATTCATATATGAATTAATGAAAGCTGCTATAGGCGCTTGTAAACATTAGCTTCTAGTCAATTGATTTTAGCAGGTGCTTGTAAACATTAGCTTCTAGTCGATTGATTTCCTTAGAAATCTCTTTTTCACTTTTTTCATATCAGTTTTCAACGGAGTAAACAAAAAAAACAAAAAATTCCTTCTTTCAAAGTTGTAAGAATGAAAACGGCCATCATTCAATTATCACTAGAAATATCAATCCATTGATAAAACTCGCTTAGCATAGAAGAGCATGGATGCATAATAGAAAAGTGATGACAAGGGTGGAAAGAATCTCGTGGCAACTCATATGCTAGGAGAAGGGAAATAGAAAGTGAAGGGTATAAAGAAGAAAACCTGAAAGCCGAATCGGCCATGGGGTTGAATGCCATAGCAGATAAATTAGTGGGTCCCGGAATCACCAGGATACTTCAAAATACTCATCCATCAGCTGGGAACTCAACCTCTAATTTGTCTCTTTCAACACATAAAGCAATGATATTATCATCCTCCAGCATTGCTAGAAGATCTGCTCTATAATGTCAACTAGTCTCAAAGGCTGCTCTGAGTTTCTTCTAGCCCATGTGATCTCGTAAAGAGAGTAAGCGGCCTTTGTGCCTCGATCTCAGTGTTATCGGAAACCCTCACTACCACTGAGAAGGTCCAATGTATTGCTCCCATTTGATCCCTTGAAATACAACTTACCTTTGGTTTGGGGTTGTATGGTGTCTGTTGCTATTAGTGCTAGTCGTTTCTTTTTCATTGAGAGAAGATGGGAGAAATCAATCTAGCACCAAATATTTTCAGAATCATACTCACCTCCACTTCCCATTTTTTATTGTTACAATCAGTGATTAAAAACACTGGATGTAGCACAGGACCGGGCAGAGGACAGGTCCGAGTTGGCTTACCAGGTCTCATGTCTGATGGGTCAAGACTCAGACGAATCGGACCTAAATCACTGGTTATTTAGAGACCCAGACGGACATGGTCAAGACTTGGGTCATTTGAGTCGAGGTCATCTCGAACTGGCAGGATGCTAGCTACGGGCTACTTGGCCGAGTCCTAGTTGGACTACCCAATTTTTCACACTACTTTCTGTCCAATCATAATGATAATAAGAATTTGAGTGTTTAGAAGGAAATTGAGGTTTAAAGCTACAATCAGAACAATTGGGCTTTAAGGCTTTGGGCCACCTTAAGTTGTTAGTGTCTAACTTTTCATTTCAGTGTTTTTCTTTATTTATTGAAGTTACCTCACAAAAAATGTAGTCACATTAGCTATAAAAGGAATTCAAAATGAAAAACACCGGCGATGCAGTGCGCATTATCAACTGAAATCTACGACCAAATCCCCACTGACTTACCACTTTGGGAAAGAGGCTGGGATTGTGGTGGTAGCACCCCCACACCCTAGTTGCCATGTTGTGGTTTCCATTCCCACCACTAACACCACCCCACTAATACCTTAAAAAAAGCTAACTCTTAATCTACTTGAAAAAACGGGTAGGGGCTTGTCTTCCCCACTGAATTACCCAAAAAAAAAAAACTGAAATCTATGAATTTCATTTGGGCAATAAAGGAGGCATTATTTACTACGATTTTTTACAGCTACTTGGGCACTGCTATGCTCTTCTGTCTCCCATCTTTATAGATTCAAGATTACTATATAATCTGATGTGTCACAAGCTCCTTGGATGATGCCCTTCAAATGCTTTAAACAATGTGATGTGTAATAATGATGGTCTCATTTTCCTGTTCATTCATCTAATACCTTCTGTCATTCAAAATCACCCGGTACCTTAATGACAATAGTTGTCATAGTGCATAAGCAGTGTTGGTTTCTTAATTTAGCTACGAGATGTTTGTTATTTTCCCAACAACAGATGAACGTTATTTCTGTTCTATAGCTTGTTGATTATAAATGATTTTTTCCTTCATTGGCTATTTCTATAAGAAGATTATCAAATGTACTTGTATGGTCGGTATTTCTACCTAAACCATTCTTTGGAGCCTCTGAAGATCATCTCTGTAGTAATAACTTCAGTCTCAAATCCTTTAGATGTGGCAGCTTTAAGATGACATCTTTCGACTGATTAAACACTTTGTTGTTTGTAGGATTTTAAGTTTTAGTTCTTCTCGTAAGAATAATTTGCTTGGATGTTGTCAACTAGGTAATCAACAATTACTGCCAATTGCTACGTGTGAAAATAGAAACCTTTCTGATTTGTGGGGCGATTTCTACAGGGTTCCATGGCTAGATCCTTACCTTGGGCTTCTTCTGTTTATGTTTCTTGCTATTTATTTGGATATCTTATCAAAGTCAATTTGTGTGATTCATATATTTCTTTCCATAGTATGGTATACATTTGGACACTCAATTCAAAAAAAAAGAAGAGAACTTTGTGATTAATTCTGCTGGCTAATGTGCGTCAATGAATTTGACATCTGTTGAGAATTTGAGGGCGTGGTTCGTCTTTGTCTTTGAGAAATAAGTGAGGGCGTGACTCATCAAAGAAATCTTTGGTATATTCTATGGTGTTGTTGAAAAGACAAACCAATCTTCAAAGTTACTTGAGGTTTTTTTTGTTTGTAAATTCTGGGCTGATTTTGTTCTTAGTGTTGCATACTTTACCAATTGAACTCCATGATCTGTTTTATGACATTATTTCCTTTTTGTCCTTATCAGTGGAAAACTGAACTCTAATAATCTTCGTGGATCTGGTCCTTTTTCTTTCTCTGTTTTTCTTTGGCTTATTTAGCCATCCACTGTGATTGCTTCGCATATGTCTTCGGTCTGTATAGCCTACCCAAAGTATACAATTTTTTTGCTCCTGAATCTAGATAACTTATGAGTGATTTGTGGTGTTGGTTTATTCCTTGCATCACTAATTCTGGTCCTGTAATTTCTGAATTCTATCTATCTTCTGCACTTCTCATATGCCTCAGCTGAAATGATATGGGCAATTGAGAAAACCTTTAGGCCCCTATTTGGATAAACCATGTAGTAAAGATAGTCTGTTTACTCCCTAGCCATTTCAGAGTGAAAGATGGGACAGTTTGGTTCGCTCTGCTATTCAGGGGCATGGGCCTTTACTATCCTCTGTTTATTAACGAAATGCTGCAATATGCCGCTCATGTCCATTAAAATCATGGAACAAAACTATTTTTCATGTGTGTCCAAATAATCCCATTTCCAAATGGAATGATTGGGCCATCCAAACAATGCATTTATGTGCAAGAGCAGTTCTGACCATAGTTAGCAAATATCCGATTAATCGGCGATTTTTTCAAAAAATCGGTGTTTTTATGGAAACAGTTTTAAACGGTGACTTTTTGAAAAGTTCAGAAAAAAATCGCGTAGTTTTCATAAAAATGTTTAAAACGCGCTTTTTTCATAATACGATTTAAATCCGGCCAAAAAATCGTATATTTTTTTACCTATAATTCTTTTTTGAAAGATAAATTATTATTTTTTCCTGTTTTGTGTACTGCAACCATTGCTACTTTCATGCTTTTGAAAAAAAAAATTATTTAAAAAAAAACCTAAAATAGAAATTTTTATTCCCACTGTGTTCTTCAAAGCCACAGTTGCAGATTTAAGGTATGAATTTTTTTTTCCCTTTTTTTTTAAACTTAAACAAATAGATGCAGATTTCAGTTGTTATTATGGAAAATCACTGTGTAAATGAAATACTGTTTAAAAATCATTTTGTAAAGTAAATCATTGTTTTTATGATAATTGTAAAGAAAATCATATACATGCAGATTTCTGTAAAGCAAATCATTTTGTTTTAAAGTAAATCATTGTTTTTATGATTTCTGTAAAGAAAATCATATACATGCATAATTGTAAAGCAAATCATTTTGTGAAGAAAATCATATGCGTGCAGATTTCTATGATTATTTGTGATAATTGTTTTTATGAAAATACTGTTTATGGCACAAATTAGAGCTCAAAACAGACTCTTTTACTGATGATGGGAAGTTACTGATGAATGAGAAGCAGAGGCTGTGACTACATGACCAAGTAAGCAATATTTTGTTTTTGATTATGTGATAACAAAGATAAACAATATAGTGTAAACTGTAAACTTACAGGAGCAAACAATTGTACATATAGGATTAGTTCCCCAAACCTAATCCTTCAGCTCTGCTTGCTGTTTCCCCAAGAAAATGAAAAAACCCTCTTCCTTTTCTCTCTCCAAAAATCAGTTAAGGCCTCTTCACAAATCAGTATAGTTAGGGCTTTCTCTCAAATAACATCCCAAATCACCGAGAAAAACCCTCTAAAAATCAGTTAGGGATTTTTCCATTAAGGTTTGTGCAGCCGATGACGTCTTCCTTCTTCTGTCTTCTCTCTATAAACCCTAATGGCTATGAGCCCAGCCCCCTTCCTTCTTCCTTCTTCCTTCTTCTCTCTCTGTAAACCCTAATGGCTATGAGCCCAGCCCTCTTCCTTCTTCCTTCTTCTCTCTCTAAACCG